GAATAAACAAGCAGAAGGGCGCGATAGGGGGGGGGGGGGGCGGGGGGATGATGAGGATGGAGGAGCATTCGCGTGAGCCGGACTTTGGCGAGTAGACACGCACACGGCGAACGAAGGCCAGGATCAGCTCGGTGATCTGCCGGCGCTCATCGTCGACGGTCATGATGTTGACCGAATCGTGCAGGGACTTGGCGAAGTACATCATGGTATTGACGCGCGGCAGGTCGGTCAGGAGCTGGGTCGCCTCGGCCAGGACCTCGGACCGATCGACGGCCGACACGAAGAGCGACGTGGAGCCCGGGTAGGCAAAGCGCGTGAGGATGCTCTTGCAGACCTCATTGCGAATGACCAGGTCCGTCTGGAAAAGATCCACCATCGGCAGGAAGTGCCGCATCTCGAAGAGATCCGAGAAGTTCCGGAGATGCGTCAGGATCTTGTCCAGGATCGACTGTAGCCGGGGCAGGGCCTGCTCCAGGGTCAGAGTGCTGATCGGGGCGGCGGCTCCGGCAGTGGGGGAGGCAGCTCCAGATACGATCGGGGCGGCGGCGGCCGCCGCCGCGGCAATGGCCCCGGGGCTGCCGGCGCCAGTGGACACCGTCGAAGTGGGCAACTCGCCAACACGACGGACAATGTCCCCGAGCAGATGGTCCACATCGGCCGCGGTAAAGTGCTTGGCCGGGATCTCGATGTATACATCGGCGCAACGGAGGAAGTCATCCGGGTTCTCCAGCTGCACAATGACCTTCCAGTGGTCGCGCAAAATCCGCCGGAGAACTGCCTTGTCGGGGTACGACAGGACGAGACTCAGGCCGAAGGACATGTAGAGTTGATGCTGATTTTGACAAATGCATGGTCAATCCGGCTGCATGGCCGCGCACGTGTGTGTGTGTGTGTAAAAGAGGGGGAAAAGAAAAGAGGGGCGAGAAAACACGACAGAGCGAAGCCCATGGAGAGAGAGAGAGAGAGAGAGAGGGAGAGAGGGAGAGAGGGAGGGAGAGAGTAGGCGGGCAATCGGGCAGCCGGGGACGCGACACACCTGCGGGCACCCAAGCCCGTCGGCTTTCTTGATGAGATCGGCGAAGCGCAGCGCATTGTCCGACACATACTTCGGATCGAAGGAGGTCATGACCGCATCCAGGACCAGGGAATTGTTGCAGCGCTCATACCAGTGGAGGATGGTGTTGAGAGTGTCGTCGGAAGACCGGTGAGACAGGCACTGGAGAATCCACTCGAGGGCCGGCACAAAGAGGGCCAGGTACTCGGAGAAGGAAAGCTCACATTCGCGCAGGATGTGCTGCAGGCGGTCCGGCGTCAGCTGGGAGAAGGAGGTGCAGAAGTCCTCGAAGACGATGTACAGGTGCTTGCGCAGCTTCGGCGACACCTCCATGCCCTTGCGACAGATGTAGGCCCGGCAGTAGGCGGCGATCAGCGGGTCGCCGATGCCGCGACACATCTTGGCCAGGCGCTCGAGGGCCGTGTCGTACTCGGTGAGCGACAGGAACCGATAGCATGCCAGCAGGGCCATCTCAATGTACATGCGAGGAATGAGCTCTCGGATGGAGGCAATCTTGTAGAACCAATTCTTGCACATCTCCTTGGCCGACTCATTCCGCTCGAAGGCCTGCGGGTCGGAGGAGGGGGGCGCATCGACCGAGGGCCGGCCACTGCGCTCCAGGATGCGCTCGTACACCAGCTTGCCGAAGGTGTCCAGGATCTCGGTAGACAGGACAAACTTCGAGGGGTAGAACTGCAGGACCTCGGTGTTGGTCATGGTCTTGGCATTTTGGATGGCGATCTTCAGCGAGGTGACTCGCTGGTCCGCCGCCCAGGAGGACACCAGCTGCTGGTGCAGGAAGTCAATGTGCTTGGTGTACTCCTGCTGGGTCAGGTCGCGCCGGGTCTGCAGCATGCTATCCGGATCGGAAAGTGAGTCGAGCCGGGCCTGGGTGCGGTCAACTGAGCATGGGGCAGGGCGGAGGGAGGGGGGGGGAGGGGAAGGGGGG